CCCCCCAAAACCCACAGGTTCCCCAAGAACCTTCGGGTCCTACAAGGCCCTGTGCCCACCAGAACCCCCTGAGATCTTGTGGAGCCCCCCAGGACCTCGTGGCAGGGCCCATGGAGCCACCCCTGGACCTCTTGGGCCCCCCAAAACCCACAGGTTCCCCAAGAACCTTCGGCTCCTTCAAGGCCCTGTGGCCACCAGAACCCCCTGAGATCTTCTGGAGCCCCAGGACCTCGTGGCGGGGCCCGTGGGGCCACCCCACACCCAAGGGTGCCAGTGGCGCCGGCTGGCGCCGGGTCCCAGCCCGTCACGCTAATCCCCTGCCCCGCGCTGGCAGCCCCGCATTCCCGGCGGCCACCGGCCCGGAAAATCCCTCCGGAAAAATCCCACCGAGGGCTGAGCCCCGTTGTCCCACCCACCCCGCAGCTCTCCATCCACGAGACCGAGGACCCCAATGACAACCGGTACCTGCTGGTGATGAAGGGCGCCCCCGAGCGCATCCTGGACCGCTGCTCCACCATCCTGCTGCAGGGCAAGGAGCAGCCCTTGGACGAGGAGATGAAGGAGGCCTTCCAGAACGCCTACCTAGAGCTGGGCGGCCTGGGCGAGCGCGTGCTGGGTACGGCCGAGGGCTTCGGAAGGCTCCTCGGGGTGGGATGAGGGTCTCCAGGGGGTTCTGAAGGCTCATCCAGGTGGGGTGAGGGGCTCCAGAGGGTTCTGAAGGCTCCTCGAGGTGGGGTGAGGGTCTCCAGGGGGTTCTGAAGGCTCCTCGAGGTGGGGTGAGGGTCTCCAGAGGGTCTTGAAGGCCCCTCGAGGTGGAGTGAGGGTCTCTAGGGGGTCTTGAAGACTCCTCAAGGTGGGGTGAGGGTCTCCAGAGGGTTCTGAAGGCTCCTCGAGGTGGGGTGAGGGTCTCCAGAGGGTCTTGAAGGCCCCTGGAGGTGGGATGAAGCTCTTCAGAAGGTCTTGAAGGCCCCTGGAGGTGGGATGAGGGTCTCCAGAGGGTTCTGAAGGCTCCTCCAGGTGGGGTGAGGGTCTCCAGGGGGTTCTGAAGGCTCCTCGAGGTGGAATGAGGGTCTCCAGAGGGTTCTGAAGGCTCTTCGAGGTGGGATGAGGGTCTCCAGAAGGTCTTGAAGGCTCCTTGAGATGGGCTGAGGGTCTCCAGAGGGTTCTGAAGGCTCCTCGAGGTGGGGTGAGGGTCTCCAGAGGGTCTTGAAGGCCCCTGGGTGTGGGATGAGGGTCTCCAGAGGGTCCTGAGGATCCTGGGTGTGCAATGAGGCGCCTGGGAGGTTCTGGGGCGCCTTGGCTAGCGGATGGGACCTCAAGGGGGTCCGAGGGGTGGGGGGGTCCCTCACGCCACGTCCCCCCGCCAGGTTTCTGCCACTTCTACCTGCCCGAGGAGCAGTACCCCAAGGGCTTCGCCTTCGACTGCGACGACGTCAACTTCGCCACCGACAACCTCTGCTTCGTGGGGCTCATGTCCATGATCGACCCGCCGCGCGCCGCCGTGCCCGACGCCGTGGGCAAGTGCCGCAGCGCCGGCATCAAGGTGACCCCCTCCCCAACGCCCTTGGACCCCCCACCCCAAGCCTGGGGTCTCCTCCTCACCGCTCCGCCCCACCAGGTGATCATGGTGACCGGCGACCACCCCATCACGGCCAAGGCCATCGCCAAGGGCGTGGGCATCATCTCGGAGGGCAACGAGACGGTGGAGGACATCGCGGCGCGCCTCAACATCCCCGTGAGCCAGGTCAACCCTAGGTGAGGCCCTTGGCGGGGAGGAGAGGGGGCGCCGGGGAGGTTTGGGGGGCGGGAGGACCATGGGGTGCTGCTGGAGACGCCTTGGGGGGCTCTGCATGGAGGTTGGGGTGCAGGTTGTTGAGTTCCGGGGTGCTGGCTCCATGCAGGAGGTCCTGGAGATGTCTTGGGGGGCTGGGCATGGGGTTTGGGGTGCAGGTTGTTGAGTTCTGGGGTGCTGGACATGGAGGTTGTTGAGTTCCGGGGTGCTGGCTCCATGCAGGAGGTCCTGGAGATGTCTTGGGGTGCTGGATGTGGGGTTTGGGGTGCAGGTTGTTGAGTTCCGGGGTGTTGGCTCCATGCAGGAGGTCCTGGAGATGTCTTGGGGGGCTGGA